AGAGTGGGAGAGAGCCAAAGCATAAGAGACTGTTAAAAACTGAGAACAAACTGAGGGTTGATGGGGGGTGGTGGGAGGGAGGGAAGAGTAGGTGATGGGCATTGAAGAGGGCATCTTTTGGGATGAGCACTGGGTGTTGTATGGAAACCAATTTGACAATAAATTTCATATATTAAAAAAATAAAATAAATGCTTGGTAGAATCTACCTATAAAGCCATCTGGTTCTGGACTTGTGTCTTTTGGAAGTTTTTTGATTACTGATTTAATTTCATTGCTATTAATTGGTGTGTTCCAATTTTCTATTTCTTTCTGATTCAGTTTTGGAAGATTATATATTTCTAAGAATTTATCCATTTTCTTCTAGGTTGTCCAGTTTGTTGGCATATAGTTTTTCATACTATTGTCTTATAATACTTTTCACTTCTGGGGTGTCAGTTGTTATTTCACCTCCTTTACTTCTGATTTTAATTATTGGAGTCCTCTCTCTTTTTTCTTGATGAGTCTGGCTAAAGGTTTATCAATTTTGTTTATCTTATCCTGGTTTCATTGTGCTATTCAGCTTATTTTTTTAGTCTCTGTTTCATTTATTTCTGCTCTAATCTTTACTATTTCTTTTCTTCCATTGCCTTTGGGCTTTGTTTGTTTTTCTTTTTCTAGCTTCTTTAGGTCTAAGGTTAGGTTGTTTGTTTGAGATTTTTCTTGTTTCTTTAGGTAGGCCTGTATTGCTATAAACTTCCCTCTTAGGACAGCTTTTGCTGAATCCTAAAAATTTTGGGCCATTGTGTTTTCATTATTTGTCTCCATGTAGTTTTTCATTTTTTATTTTTTACTTTTTAATGTTTATTTTTGAAAGAAAGAGAGAGTGAGAGAGCAAGTGAGGGGCAGAGAGAGACAGAGGCAGAATACAAAGCAGGCTCCAGGCTCCGAGCTGTCAGTACAGAGCCCGATGTGAGGCTTGAACTCACAAACTGTGAGATCATGACCTGAGCTGAAGTCAGACACTTAACCAACTGAGCCACTCAGGATCCCCTGTCTCCATGTATTTTTTGATATCCTCTTTGATTTCTTGGTTGACCCATTTATTGTTTAATAGTATGTTATTTAACCTTCATGTATTTTAATTCTTTCCAGATTTTCTTGATTTCTAGTTTCATACTGTTGTGGTCAGAAAAGATGCATGATATAATTACAACTTTTTTAAATTTATCGAGACTTGTTTTGTGGCCTAATGTGATCTCTTCTGGAGAATTTCCATATGCACTTGAAAAGAATGTGTATTCCACTGTTTCAGGATAGAATGCTCTGAATATATCTGTTAGATGTATCTGGTCCAATGTGTCATTCAAAGCCACTCTTTCCTTGTTGATTTTCTGTCTGGATGATCCATCCATTGATATAAGTGGGCATTAAAGTCCCCTACTATTATTGTACTAGTGTCAATTTCTTCCTTCATGTCAATCAATAGTTGTTTTATGTACTTAGTTGCTTCCATATTGGGTGTATATTTACAGTCGTTATAGCTTCTTGTTGGATTGTTCCTTTTGTCATTATGTAGTATCCTTCTTTGTCTCTTATTATAGACTTTAAAGTATATTTTGTCCAATGTAAATATTGCTACCACAGCTTTCTTTCCACTTCCATTTGCATGGTAAATGTTTTTCCATCCCTTCAGTTTCAATCTGCATGTGTCTAGATCTGAAGTGAGTCTCTTGTAGCAGCATATAGATGGGTCTTGATTTTTTATCCATTTAGTCACCCTATGTTTTTTAATTAGAGCATTCAGTTCATTTACATTTAAAGTAATTATGATAGTTATGTACTTATTGCCATTTTGCTACTTATTTTACTTTTGTTTTTGTAGTTCTTCTCTGTTCCTTCTTTCCTTGTTCTGTTCCCTTGTGGTTTGATGGCTTGATGTGATTGGTTTCCTTTCTCTTTATTTTTTATGTATCTATTACACGTTTTGATTTTTGGTTACCATTAGGTTCAGATGTAACATCTTACGCATATAGCAGTCTATATCAGGTCATTTACGTTTGAACTCATTATAAAATTTTTGTTCCCCCACCCCATGTTTTATGTATAAGATGTCATACTTTATATCCTTTTATTTTGTGAATCCTTTGACTGATTTGTATAGATTTTGTTGATTTTACTGCTTTTGTGGTTTAGCCTCCATTATGGTTTTATAAATGATTAATCTACTACTTTATTATATGTTTGCATTTGCCTATGAAAATTTTTCCTTTCATAATTTTCTTATTCCTGATTATGGCATTTTCTTTCCACTCAAAGAATTCCCTTTAATGTTTCTCATAAGGCTGCTTTAGTGGTGACGAGCCCTCTAACTTTTGTTTGTCTGGGAAACTCTGTCTCTCCTTTTATTCTGAATGATAATAAAGCTGAGTAGAGTATTCTTAGTTGCAGGTTTCTTTCTTTCAGTACTTTGAATATATCTTGCCACTCTCTTCTGGCCTGCAAAGTTTCTGCTGAAAAATTAGCTGATAGCCTTATGGGGTTTTCCTTGTAGGTAACTCTTTTCTCTGGCTGCTTTTAAAATTCTCTCTTTATCACTACATTTTGCCATTTTAATTATTATGTGTCTTGGTGTGGACCTCTTTGGGTTAATTTTGTTGGGGACTCTCCGTGCTTCCTGGATCTACATGTCTGTTCCCTTCCCCAGATTAGGGATGTTTTCACTTATTCAAATTAATTTTCTGCCCCATTCTCTCTCTCTCTTTTTCTGAGATCCCCATAATGCAAATGTTATTACCTTTGAGGATGTCACCAAGTTTCCTTAACTGATTCTCATGTTTTATTATGCTTGTTTTCTTTTTTCTATTCAACTTGATTGCTTACCATTACCCTGTCTTCCAAGTGCTAGTCTGTTCTTCCACCTCCTCTAATCTGCTATCGATTTCTTCCAGTGTATTTTTTATTTCAGTTATTGAGTTCTTTATCTCAGATTGGTTCTTTTTTATATTTTCTCTCTTTGTTTAAGGTTTTACTGAGTCCATAAGTATGTTTATGACCATTACTTTGAATTTTTATCAGGCATATTGCTTATCTCAGTTTTATTTAGTTCTCTTGCTATGGTTTTGTCCTGTTCTTTTTTTGAACATATTCCTCTGTCTTCTTATTTTGTCAAGCTCTCAGTGTCTGTTTCTATGTATTAGGAAAGTCAGCTATGTCTCCTGATCTTGGAAAGTTGAGGCTCTATGAAGAAGAGGTCCTTAGGTGCCTTACAGCACAATGCTCCCTGTTCACCAGAACCAAGCACTTCAGAGATGTATACTATGTGGGCTGCATGCACCCCCCATTATGGCTGAGCTGCACTTAAAGTCTATTTTTTGATAAACATATGGAAATTTGTGAAAATCATCATAGCTTGATGAATTATCACAATTAGCTCTTCTGATGGCTGTGTAACCAGCCCTAGGTTAAGAATATTTCTTCAGAGGCTTCCTTATGCCCCACTCACAATCTCTCTCTTTCTCAAAGGTAACTACTACTCTGACATCTAATATAGCTAACTTTGCCTCATTTTTATCTTTTCTTTAAGTTTTTTTATTTGTTTTGAGAAAGAAAGAGAGCAAGTGGGGGAGAGCCAGAGAGAGGGGAGAAAGAGAATCGCAAGCAGGCTCCACACTGACAGCACAGAGTCTGATGTGGGGCTCAAACTCATGAACTGTGAGATCATGACCTGAGCTGAAACCAAGAGTTGGATGGTTAACCGACTGAGCCACCCAGGTGCCCCTCATTTTTATCTTTATAAAAATGGAATCATGGATTATGTTGCTCAGTATGATGTTTATAAAATTATTTTTTATGTTTCTATGTGGTTTTGTTTATCGTCATTCTATATTATATTCGACTGTATGAATATACCATAATGTTCATCCATTCACAGTTGATGGGTATTTAGGTTGTTTCCAGTATTTGGCTACTAGAAGTAATTTTATTATGAACATTCTCAGGTACCTTTTAGTGCAGAGTCATGCATGTTACCTAGGCATGTTTCCACATGTATGCACGTGTATGTGTTCAATTTTACACATGCATATGCTCAGTTTTATTAGTACATACTATCCAAATAGTTTTCCAAGGTGAGTGTAATGATTTCCATTATCTTTATTAGAGTATGACAATTCCCATTGTTCCACATCCACACCACCTCTTGTTTTATCATCTTATAAAATTTTAGCCTTTTATGTGGTATATATATATAATGGAATACTACTCAGCAACGAAAAAGAATGAAATCTTGCCATTTGCAACAACATGAAAGGAACTGGAGTGTATTATGCTAAGTGAAATAAGTCAGTCAGAGAAAGACAGATATCATATGTTTTCACTCCTATGTGGAAGTTGAGAAACTTAACAGAAGACTGGGGGAAGGGAAAGAAAAAATATATATAGTTATGAAGAGGGAAGAAAACTATAAGAGACTTTTAAATACAGAAAACAAACAGGGTGAAAGGGGGTGGGGGTGGGGGTATGGGAAAAATGGGTGATGGGCATTGAGGAGAGCACTCATTGGGATGAGTACTGGGTGTTTTATGTAAGTGATGAATCGTGGGAATCTACTCCCAAGAGCACACCGTATGCACTGTATGTCAGCTAACTTGACAATAAGTTATATAAAAAAGTAAAAATAAATAAATAAAAATAAAATAAAATTTTAGCCCTTTGGGTGCCTGGGTGGCTCAGTGGGTTAAGCATCTGACTCTTGATTTCAGCTCAGGTCATGATCTCACAGTTCGTGGGATCAAGCCCCGTGTCTGGCTCTGCTCGGACAGAGTGGAGCCTGCTTGGGATTCTCTCTCTCTCCCTCTCTCTTTGCCCCTCCCACTCCCCCCGTCAAAATAAATAAATAAACTTAAAAAAATTTTTAGCCATTCTTTGAGCGTTCAATAATGTTCCATGGTGGTATTTTATCTGTAACTCTCTAATACTTTTCCTACATTAACTTTCAAAATTTTTGTATTTTTTCTTTTAGGCTTTGTCTAAACACTGCCTTGAAGACACTACCTTTAGGATACCCACCCAAGACTGAGTGATTCAACAAACCTCAAGAGGACAGAACCAGGTGCCAACAGAGGAGCATCACAGAATCGCAGGCACAGCCACCCTCATTTCTGGGCAAATATTCTACCACGAGTGCTATTCCCTGATGAATCAGCAAGCCTAACAAACATTATCCTTTAATTTGCATAGTAATAGTAGTCCACCGGTATTTCCAGCTGACACAGACACTCATTCATTTTTGAAAAAGTAGCATTTTCCAGCATCCTCGAATATCCAGAAGATATCTAAAAAGTTTGGGCTTTGGTGCTTATTAATGAAAACCATGAAGTCTAAGGCCAACTTTGCGCAGAACCCAAATTGTACCATAATGATATTTCATCCAACCAAAGAAGAATTTAATGACTTTGATAAATACATTGCATACATGGAATCCGAAGGCGCACACCGCGCAGGCCTGGCCAAGGTGATTCCCCCCAAGGAATGGAA